CAGTGAATGGCACTTATATGGTCAACGTCTTTCAACTCGATTCTTCATCATTTCGCTAATTATTGCATTTTCTATACTTATTCTCTATGCATCCACATATTCTGTTACAAAAACGATCACCATTAACAAACCTCCAATCGATGTTTATTTCACTCTTCAAGATAAATATCCTCAAACATTGACCTGTCCATGTTCATCAACTACAAATGAACACTCTCAATTCATATCATTTCAACCTACATTACATCCAGTTTGTTATTCAGATTTTATTACAGATAAGTGGAGTAACTATTTACTAGCAGTGGACGGCGATGGTATAAGTCCCCTTGATTTTCGTTACAGCAATTTAATATTCTTTCCAACTATTTTATCCTTTTGTCAACTATCATTGAAAACAATCAGCAATGAAATATTGATATTCAATTCAACAAAATATGTTACAAAATCTGTACAAGAAATAGATCTATTTAACTCTCAAACACAACAACTCATCAATAATATGAAACAAACAACAGTGAATTTATTTCAACGTTCAATCTCAATGTTACGTCAAACAGTCTGGGGAAATGCATTGTTTTCTGGTCTAACTTATCATTATTCACCCGATCCGACGATTAATTATGATTATAACTCAACAATAAATCCTCATGATTTAAATCTTGTATTTTACCCATATTATTATCACCCTAGCTTTGACACAAACTGTTCATGTAAAATCAATCCAACTACGTGTAATGTATTATCTGATATCAGTTATTGGAACTACACAGTAAATAAAATTTAACATTCGATAAAACATTTTTTGTCCAAAAACGTATTTACTATAGAATATTCGTTGCCTATTTTATATTCTATACTCAAAAGCAACATACATCATATTTTATTATTCTACACTCAGTATTAGCTTTAATTGACTTTCTTTCCTAAGATTTTACATAAATAGTGAAATATCAATAAAATATTCGTACCCATGCTTTTTCGATCCCTGTAAAGAGTTTCTTTTTGTATAATAAAATATTAGACTGGCAGTAATAAAACGATTGATGTCACACGACAAAAATTGTATTTCAGTACTAATAGAGTTAAAATATGATATAAGTTCACATTCAAGTTTCGATTACGGTAAAGTTTTTCTTGATACTGATTCCAGTTCCGTACATATCTAGTTCTACTATTATTAGCTAATTCTTATAGTAAATGATTGATGTTGCTTTCTAGGTTCTTAATCAGACGGTACACAATCTATTTACTGTTCCTGGTTATTATATTGGCTGTTATCAGGGTGAATCAATGTTTCGTTCTACTTTTGAATGTTTTTTTGATCAAACATGTTTACAAACAATCTATAATTTAACATATTTAAATTCACAATTTCCATTTAATGCAACTGCTATGCAATCAAATAGCACTCGTTATAATGTAACAACAAGTGTACAAGATATTATTGATGATTTAATGGTTGAAGAATGGAATGATAAAACATCATTTCAATTTTATTTTAAACAATGTAATCCATATTTATGTTCATATTCATATGATATTAAAGGAGATATTAGTTATGTAATTGCAATTACATTTGGTTTAATTGGTGGATTAACAACTATTTTAAAAACAATAATTCCATTTATTGTATTAATGATTAGACGATGGCGACAAAAAAGAAAAATTGATATCAATCAATCAATGATTAATCAAGGTATCTAAAATTTACTTTAAAAAGATTTTTGAATATAGAGGAATCGTATAAAATCACTACATATTTAATAATTTGATTTTTGTTTTCTTTATAGGCTAAGTCAATAGCAGCTATTAGTTGTATTTTGATCTTATTGATGAGAACTCTTATTAATTTTCCTTTGTAATATTTGATCACTTAATACTTTTCTTTCAAAAAGACTATTACAAGAACGGCAAGTCTTTTCTTGAGGATAAGTGTTTGTATGAAATGATTTCGACATAAGCACTGATGTTAGATGAGAAATGTCTGTTGTGATTATATATCTACCAGAACAGTTTCGAGAAAAGTATTTCAAATTTTACTGATGTGGCCGTTTTGAATCGAATGTCTCGAAAGTTTCGCGACATTTCTTATTTTGCATATATTTCGACGAAAGAAAATGACAGTGTTGATCTTCTTTGAAAAGATGCACTATAAAAAATTCTTACTGCACATGAAAACTTTTTCCAAATATTTTTATTACGATGAGACAAAGTATTGTTATATAAGTCGTTCATATCGAATATCGAAAAGCCATTAGAATAAGTCAAAAAGAAGTTTTCTATGTAGTTTTAGTATACCTTTTCATGCTGCATCTTTTCTAAAAAATAGTCAGCATGTTGTCATTTTCTCATGTCGAAATATATGCAAAATACGAGATGTGGCAATTCATGTTGCCCATTTTTAAACACTAAAACGAGAAAATATTTCTGTTTTAAAATGAATAATAATTAGTTGTTTGTATGTTTTTTAGATAGTCAAACAAGAACAATAGGACAGAAATTAAAAATAAGTATTTTAACATTTAACTTATTTAAAAACCGAAACAAAAGATCTGAAGAACAATTACAACAACAACGTTTTTCAACACGTTTTTATCTCACAATTACTCTAATTACTTTAATTATTTTAGTATTTTATGTTTCTTTTGAAAATATTACACATACAATTACTAAGAATAATCCAACAATTCTTGAATTTAATAAACTTTATAAAAAATATCCAAATACTATTCAATGTCCATGTCAAACATATTCAATTCCATATGAACAATTTATTGAATTTCAACCTCATTTACATTCAATTTGTTCAAGTACATTTGTTAATGAAACTTCACAATGGCTTATAATTGATTATCCGCAAACAATGTTAATACATTCTGCTCGAAAAGATGATTTTCGACAAATTGGAAGTCCATTTTTTCAACTTTTAAATTCATTTTGTAATTTATCATCTAAAACAATTAATGCAGAATTAACAACATTTAATTCAAGTAGATTTATTACATTAAATTTAATTACATTTAAACAATTTCAAACTCAAATAAATCAACTAATTGATCAATTTATAAAAAATACGGCTCGTTCATTTATTAATTCACTCTTTTTTACAGAAAATATGACTGCAGCAAATATGTTAGTTTCTGCATTTCAATCAGATTCGTTGTTTTCATCAGCATCTCCATTATATAAGGATAATACATATTCAGATTATGAATATGCATATATTTATGATCGAGTAGATCAACTATATAGTTCAAATGAGACTGGAATTGATTGTGATTGTCAAAGTACACCATGGTGTATTCAACAAGCAATTGTTTATGATTTAGATACAACAACACAACTGTTTTCTCCACCAGGTAAAGTTCTTTACATGCCTGTGTTTATATAAATGTAAAAGAAAATAGATTTGAGAACATATAAATATGAATGAAAAAGTTGCTTTTTTCTGCTTTTATTTATCATCATCAACATCGTGACAAGCAACATCAGCCTATACGGTTGTTAGGAAACGACACATGAAGATTTTTTCTCTATTTTCTTTCTCCTCACTTTCGATTTTTTTAGAAAACTTCCTGATTCCCAAAATTTTCACAGCGTAAACTTAGGGAAAATATACTTTTTATTGTAATAAATGTAGACCTATTTTTTCACGGAAAATTCTTTATTTCGTAAGAACTTAACTCTTTAAGAATTCCTTTTTTTTAAAAAAATCTTAATTGAAGACCAGTTTTATATAAATATATGATTTATTCAGATACTTTCTTTGTTCATTTTACAGAAATAATTTCAAAAAAAATTGTATTGATCAAATATTTAGAAATTATAGAGTCTTCCTTTTGATTAAGTGAATATTATGTCTTGAAGAAAAAAATATATATATTTTATTATGTTCAGGTATATTTGTTGGATGTTATCTTGTTGAAGCAGTTTTACAAAGTGATCTAAGATGTTTCTTCGATATTGATTGTTTACACCAGTTGATCGATAGTTTATCTTTAGTAAATATCAGTGCATCGGATATTATTTTAAATTTAACAGCAAGTCATTATCAAGAAAAAAGTTCTTTATTAGAAATTGTTTCAAACTTAATGGTTGAAGAATGGAATAATCAAACATCTTATGATAATTATTTTAATATATGTCAACCATCAGTTTGTACAGCAACATACATAAACCGTGGAAATATTGTTTATATTATAACAACAACTATAGGATTGATTGGAGGATTAACAACAGTCTATAAATTTGTTGTACCAATATTTATAAAGATTATGGTACATGTAATCATTCCGTTTATACGAAACAAATGTGGTAGGAACAATAATGGAGAGATATGATAGAATGGCTGGTGAATCTTTGACTTTTCTACTTCACTTTTAAGTCAATGTTGTCTTGCATATTATTTACATTAATAATAATAAAATGATTTTCTCACATATTGTTCATTTTTAAACTATGTAAAGTCATTTTATTATTGATTAATATATCGCTTTATTTTTTTTCTTCTTCATTTGCTTAAGTTCATTCTATGTCATATTTTAAATATTTACTTATTCTCTTACAATTTTATCTAAATACTCCTGCAAAATATAAAAATATATGATTAATGTAAAAATTTCAAAGTTAAATCAAAGAAAATGGATGATAATGATGAATTTTGACAATTTAAAGGATAACCACCTGCCATCGTGAGGGTGAATGCGGGTGTGAGCTAAGATAAGAGATATCCACACCCGTTTCTTTTGTTTAGTTTCATGCATATAACTAGTATACAATTGGATTAGAACAATGATTTAATTACTTAACTCTTACTAGCAACTATAGATATACTCAATTCGATGGGTGTGGGTGTGGGCGTGAGTGTGGAATAAAACGAGTACACACCCAAAATTACACCCACACCCCTCAAATAGACCCCAAAATTTACCAAAAGTCGAAAGCGTATCGTTTTTTTCTCATATCGATTAGTATGATACGAGAAGCGTGGGTGTCTCTCTTTTAACTCATCCACACCAGTCAAATCATTGCTAGTAATTTACTAATTGATTTTAGAGAGACACATGGCGTCGACTTGATGATAAATTTTATTTAATGTTTGAGGAACGAGTTTTTGTTCATTGATGTATTAGAGAAACACAAGAAGATTTAGCATCACTTGAAAAATATTTAAAATCAATACATATCTACTACAATGATGAGTATAAGATTATATATATGATGATCTAATTCAAATGTAGTTTTATTGAAAAAAAAGATTAATAGTAAATAATTCAATGATTATTTTGAGGTATTGATATATAATATTACTCAAGCAAAGATTCAGAGTGTAAATTCATTTAAAAATTATCAACTAAAAAATTTATATTTACCAGCAGTACTCATATTAATAGTTCAAATAAAACATCATAAATTGATATTTTATTTTTTATGCCTAATAAAATCAATATATAAAAACAACATTGAAATACTAGATTTCAAGCAGTATAATCTGTCTCTATATTAAACTAAAACACAAATAAAAACCTCAACGTTTCTATTTTGATTTATTATTCAAGATTAAAATTTCGAAATATTTCAATATACTATGACAAATATTTATTAGTAATATTGATTTTTTGATAAGAACATAAGTACTTCCGAAAGGCATTTTTTTTTCGTATAGGCTGACGCCATTACTATGTTATCGAACCTATACTTATAAATACTACTTGTATGTGTGAAATTTTACATATTATGACGAGGTAAGAGAGTAATCTATTGTTTTAATTCAATACTACATAGAATACAAAAGTATATGTTATCTTTCTTTTTATATAGATGTCATCATCATCATCATACGATTCCAATCCTCTTTTACATGCTAATATTTTTTCTCGATTTTTTCATCAGTAAGAATTTATACAAATATTTTTGTGTGTAAAAAATTGTCTATTTTCTATAGTTGGGTAACTCCTTTATTAAAAAAAAGTCGTGAAAATGGTGTATTACATTTAAATGATCTTTATGATCTACCAGCTCATCTTCAATCGACAGAACTTACTGATAAACTTGAAAAAAATTGGTTTGATGAAGTAAAACGATGTCCAAATAATCCAAGTCTTATTCGAGCAACACTACGTACAGTAGGATGGAAACCATTTGCTCAAAGTATTCTTGCATTTTTAAATGTAAGTGTAAGATCAAACTATAGAATTAATTCAATTTGAAATTTGTTTTTCAGGGATTGTTTCGAATTATTCAACCATTGATCTTAACAGTACTGATGAGTTTCTTTGAACCGTGTTCATCGATGCCATCATGGCATGCTTGGCTTCTTGCTTTTGCAACAATTATTGCTACATTAAGCTCAAGTCTTATTATTCATCAAGTATTGTTAGTTTATTCTTCAAAATTATATCTTATTTTTTTTTCTATTTTTAAAGTATGTTCATAAAATTGATATATATGCTATGCAAATCTTTATAGCTTATACAGGTTTAATTTATCGTAAAGTAAGTAAAATATGAAATGATAAAAGAAATTAGAAAAATTCTATTAAAAGGTTCTTCGATTATCACTTTACTCAATGAATAGTATTACTTCGGGAGAGATTACTAATTTATTAGCAAACGATGCAAATCAAATTCAACTCGTAGCAATTTTCTTCAATGATATGTGGGTAAGATTCATGATCTTTTCTTCAATAATATTATATTAACACTTGCAGATTGGACCTATACATCTCATTCTTGTCATTTGTGTATTCTACTATTTTGTTAAATATATTGCTTTTATTGCTATTGGATATTCTGCTTTTCTTCTACTTATTCAACCATTATACAGTCTTATGTTTGTTTCTATACGGTATGTTATTAGTTTTATTGTGCTGCTAATGATGATGATGATTTCTAGCACAAAAATTCTTCAAATAACTGATGAACGTATAAAAATAATGTCTGAAATAATTAAATCAATGCGTATTGTAAAAATGTATTGTTGGGAAACAGCATTTATTCAAAAAATTTGTCTTATAAGAAAGTAAATTAAATCATAAAATCTTGTTTGCTTTTTTTATTTGAAATCAAATTATATTTAGACGAGAAATTATTCAATATACGTTCTATGCTATATGCAATTGTATTCAAGTTATATTTTCACATAATTATACTACATTAATTTTTCTAATGATGTATGGAACAATGTGGTCATTAAATATAAGATTGGATACACGTTTTTTTGCTATAACTTCTTGTTTGTTGGGTTATATGAAAGTATATTGTATTGAATTCTTTTCATATGCTATTCGTGATATTTCAAATTATTTAGTTGCTAGAAAACGAATTGAGGTTTGTATAATTAATATATATGTAAACTAATTCAATTGAAAATCTTTTCGTATTTAGAAATTTTTATTACTTGATGAATGTGAACGAGATAATCGATTATTATCATCATCTCATTTAGAAATTTCATCATCGAATAAGATAGAAATAACTAATAATATTACACAAGAGGTGCAAGTTAAATGTAATTTGAAAGAAGCACACTGGGAAAAAGTAATTATTATATTTATACAATAATTAAATTTATTTATTCATTATTCAGAATGGAGTATTTAAATTACAAAATATTATTTTTGATGCTCATCCAGGCGATTTAATCTGTATTATTGGAGCAGTTGGATCAGGCAAAGTCTGTATTTTTTGCTTTTGAATATTATAACTATACATATGCTATTGATTTAGAGTTCACTTTTACAAACATTAACAGGTGAAATTGGTTTTTTCGAAGGAAAAGTTCGATTACATGGATCATTTTGTTATGTACCACAGGAAGCTTGTAAATATTTTAATTAATATAAAAGTATATTTTATTGTCTATTTTCTTTTATCAGGGATCTTCTCATCAACAATAAAAAATAATATTCTTTTTGGTAAAGAATATAATCATAAACTATTTCAACGTGTTATACAAGCTACAGCACTTGACATCGTATGTAGATTCAATAATGACATCTAACGTAACTATGTATTATAGGATTTGGATCAACTATCTCAAGGTATTAATACTCTTGTTGGTGATCAAGGTGTTATGTTATCTGGCGTATGAAAAATACAAAACAAAACTACTAATATCTTACATATATATATATTATTTAGGGTCAAAAAGCACGAGTGAATATGGCACGAGCACTTTATCGCAATGCCGATATTTATCTATTAGATGATCCTCTATCTGCTGTTGATGTTAAAGTGTCTAAACATCTTTTTGAAAAGTAAAACATTAATAACAAAACGAGATACAATATTTATTTTTCTTATAGATCAATTAAACATTATCTTTGTGATAAAATATGCATTTTAGTCACTCATCAAATACAGTTTTTACAAGATGCAACTAAAATTATTGTTCTTGATAAAGTAAATATTAAACTATATCTTGATATTACTATTCGAATTCATTAGGGAAAAATGGTACAAATGGGTACCTACAATGAACTAATTTCTTCGTCATCTACGTTTGCTCATCTATTGAAAGATATTAATCAACAAGAACAACAACAACAACAACAAATTGCAGCAAATATTCAACAACAACAATCCATAATTAGTTCAATTCATTCTGAAAAAGAGGATGGAGATGAAGTCATGAGTAATATTGATACGAAACAACAAGGTGCAATTAAATGGACTGTTTATACTTCCTATATAAAAGCGGGTCTTGGTTGTATTTTCGGTTCTTTCTTTATTTTATTACTTTTAACTGCATATCAAACAACATTTATGTATAGTAGTTGGTGGATAGCAACATGGAGTGATGATGAAAGTCATCGATATAGAAATTATAACCAATGTATATCAATTACTATTGAAAACAGAAGTCATTTATATTTGATGAGTGAGAATGAATGGAATATATATCGTAATCAAAAATTTTATAGTTATTGTGGTAAGTTTATTGGAAAAATAAGATTTATAAAAACTAAAAATAATTATTTCTAGGAATTATTATACTACTATTAATATTAACATTTTTGCGTACTTTTGCATTAAAATTAATGTGTTTAAATGCTGGACGAGTACTTCATAATAAGTAAGAATTATCATTTTTTTCCTCTTCCAATCAAAAATGTTAATAATAAAAATTGTAGAATGTTTCGCCGCGTTATTCGTTGTCCTATAGCATTTTTTGATACAAATCCTATTGGTATGATTTAGTTAAGTAGTAAAAGTTTTATATAGATGTGTTCTATGTTAATTTAGGTCGAATTTTAAATCATTTTACTAGAGATATTCTTATCATGGATACTGATATAGTACAGGATGTTCCAGATTTTTTAATTGTAAATGAATTTGTTTATAAAATTAGATATATGATAATGATTTTATTTTATAGTGTTTAAGTGCAGTATTAGGAACAGTTATTTTAATTGGATTACTTAATCCATGGGCTTTTATTCCAGCCTTTATAGGAATTATTGGAATGTTAATTGTACGTTATCGTTTTGCTCGATGTTTTCGTGATTTAAGACGAATTACAGAAACAACACGAAGTCCACTATATTCATATTTATCTTCAACAATTCATGGATTAAAAGTTATTCGATCATATCATGCTGAGCAAATGTGTTCACAACAATTTCTTTCATATCTTGATCAAAATATTCGAGCTGATTATTTAACTAAAGTTGTTGAAAGATGGGCGGCCATGCGTTTTGATTGGACATCCTTTACATTTCTCGCTCTCGTTACATTATGTTCTATGCTTGTACGCATTTATAAACAAGAATTATCCACTGCTGATATTGCCCTTACTCTATCTTATAGTCTTAATTTAATGGGACTTTTTCAATGGACAATTAGGTTTAATTATAAAAAAAAGATTAATTAAAATATTTTACTTTTATATATTTAGACAATCAGTAACAGTTGAAACTCATATGACAGCTGTCGAACGAATCTTAGAATATTGTTCACTTGAACAGGAACCAACTGTACAACTTTCGTTAAACAATCGACTATCAAATAATTGGCCATCACATGGTCAAATTGTATTTCGAAATGTATCGATGTCATATTCAAATGATGATAAGACATCACTTGTTTTACATAATATAACATTAACAATTAAAAGTGAAGAAAAAATAGGTATTGTAGGAAGAACTGGTGCAGGAAAAAGTTCTTTAATTCAAGTACTTTTTCGTATGGGAATACTTGTTAATGGTCAAATTGAAATCGATAATATTGATATATCAACAATTCCATTAGATGATCTTCGAAGTCGAATATCTATTATTCCACAAGATCCAGTTCTTTTTACAGGTACAATTAGAAATAATCTTGATCAATTTAATAATTATACTGATCAACAAATATGGAATGTATTAGATCAAGTATGTCATTCATTGTCTTCTATATATAATTATTATTATTATTTAAATATAGGTACAATTAAAAACGTTAGTAAATGATACTATGTCAAATGGATTAGATTCATTAGTTAGTGAAAATGGTTGTAATCTAAGTGTTGGACAAAAACAATTAATATGTTTAGCAAGAGCAATTTTAAAACAAAGTAAAATTCTTGTCATTGATGAAGCAACAGCTAATGTTGATAATGCGTATGTAAACAAGAAATTTCTTAGATAAAATTGACTTTTTTTTATTAATTAAATTTTAGTACAGATGAATTAATTCAACAAGCTATTCGAGATAAATTCAAAGAATGTACTGTATTAACAATAGCACATCGTTTGAGAACAATCATTGATAGTGATCGAATTTTGGTAAAGTGACATAAAAATAAATTTTATTTTCAATAATATATTATTTGTCTATTAAAGGTACTGGGAAATGGAGAAGTACTTGAATTTGATACACCATCTTCATTATTAGCTAATTCAAATTCTTATTTTGTTTCATTGGTGGAACAAACTGGTTCAAATGAAGCTGAGTATCTGCGAACATTAGCAAACCGAACGAATACGAAAAGGAAATCGGTAGCACAAAAAGCAATTAGTGATGATGATGATATCACACCAATAATGAACGAGAATGATCCTCTTTTAGTGTGAATTATAACAAAAAACATAACTTTTTTATTTAAATAATCTAAGCAAAAATGTTTTAATTAATATAAAAATACATCAAATTTTTTTGTTCGATTAATTTTAAGTTTTTCAACAAATTCTTTAACCGTTAAAATTGCATGATCAAAAGAAGGCCAATTAAAATCGACTGCATAACGATCTGTAGATTCCAAACAAGTGTTAGTAATAAGTTCTGCAAGAGTTATATTATCAACACCTTGTGTGTTTAATTTCATATCAAGATCTGCGTTAATTAAGTTCATTCATCTTCATCTAAGTTCATTTGCTTTGTGTTGTCGAATACGGTATCAAATGATGGAATAGATGTATTTAACCATTCTTCAATTTGCGTCGATTTATTTATAGAGTTGTTTTCTATCAATTGGATCAAACTGCGAGTTGTCGGTTTCCAGATCGAACAATCCGACACGGAAACGACCGGTTCCGTGGTATTTTGCATATTTCATGAAAGCAGTATTTCCGTTGAACAGATCCAACTTTAGGGTCGACTTCTTGACATTTTCCAGCAGGGTTCCTGTCGAAAACAATAAGTTTCCTTAGGATTTTTGCCAGAAATTCATGGAATGCTGCATCAGAAATCATTGACATGTGTTGTGAATCTGTTGATTCATTATCTGCACCATAATGATCTTCTTGATCAAATTCCGTATCAGTGTTTATTATGGCTGAAGCTTGTGAAATTTGCTTTTCTTCATCTTCTTTAATTACCATGTGCATAATTTCATTGATGAAGACCATGTCGGTCTGTGACACAAAGTCTTCTATTGGTAATGACCATCTTATTTCCGTTGAACGAATCCGATTTTAGGATCGACTTCTTGACATTTTCCAGCAGGGTTCCTGGCGACAACAATGAGTTTCCTTAGGATTTTTACCAGAAATTCATGGAACACTGCTTCAGGAATCATTGACCTGGGTTGTGGATCTGTTAATTCAATACCATCGTCTGTACTATGATCATCATTCTTATCATATTTAATATTAATGTGTATCAATTCAGAATCTTGAAGTATTTGTTTCTCGTCTTCTTCCTTGAATAAATTATGTAGCACCTCGTTGGTAAGGATTATTCCATCAAATTACAACTTTTAACTTCACACTTTTTTCTTGAGCACGGTCGATCGACTCGGCATAGTTAAAAGTATATATTTGACCAATCTAAAACAGTAAGTTAAAACTCTGAGGTAGAGTTCTATGATGAAAAACAAGACACTCGTAAACTCCAAATTTCGAGCTCACTTTTCACGACGGTTTTAATATAATTTGTAAACAAGTAACACTCGTCCGGTGACTTGCCTAGCTTTTTCTCGTACAAATACATCTTCTTCACATTTACTGGAGAAAAAATTGAAAATCTTGCTCTTCCTACTCTTAGCACCTACTCGCATCCCATTAAGTGGTAAACACAAATCAAAACATATTTGAGTTACCGGCACCAGTGGCTTGTCAAACTAATCTTTAACGAATGAGTGAAGTGCTAGTAATCTTTTATGCAAGAAAGCTATCAGTTTATGATCGCCACACTCTGCACTGCAAGCAAGGAAACATTTGAATACCCATAAGAGTGCATTACTCAAAACCTCGGTTTCTGTTAGTACACGTCACTTCTTCCAATTGATACCTCCTTCTTTCACTCGCTTGAGAAAATGAGGCGCACACATGAAGTTCACGCATCGAAATACTTCTAGAAATGTCTCTTCCGGAAAGTTGATTTTTAATGTTTTTTTTACCCTGCGGACGTATAAGCAAGCAAGCAAGCAAATAATTTATTTCTGCTGAACTTCTCTATATGAGAAAGAAAATAGAATCTATGAAGGTACATTTGTTTCTTTTTATTTAAAATAAGCAATTACAATTGATCAAAATTCATAATTTTGTAATCTCAAATCATCTTGCATCAATTGGATTGTATTCAGGACCTAAATATAGATATCGAAAAAATATTTCACTGATTTATATATATTTTGTATTATACTTACCATACGGTCCGATGATAAAATCTCCGTTATGTAAAATATAAATAGGATCATTTATATAAAGAAATCTATGATGTATTTCAGCGCATAATGATTTTGCCAGGCTAAAAAAAAATATATTTGTTAAAAATGACAAACTTACACTTTAATAGTTCCATCAAGGGAAAAAGCAAGATTTCAGAAATGAATACTCCTCTCGTACTCTGCTTGCTACGTCGAAAATTAAGGGCTAGTTTTTTGTTGACCAACACTGAAAAATGCTACAAATTTGGTCACTAAATCTAGCTGGCTTCGCTCGATACCTAGCAAATCAGATTGCTAGATGTAATCATCAGATTTTTTAGAACCGATGACCGAAATCACTGTCTTGGATTGTATTTGACTGTACTTCCTTTGTATCTGAGAGTACTGAAGTCTAGCCTTTTCTCCTTTGGATTACATACATTATAAAAACACTAATATATGTATGAATATCATACCTTCTTATAAGCATGAATCCAGTGAAGAACATCAAAAATTGTATTGAATGTTTAGACATCTTGCGAGTGTCGCTCAATCTTGAAATGAGTTTTTGAATCAAATGCTTCAAAAAGAAAATTTATTTTATCGATAAAAATAAGTGAATAAAACAAAGTTGCGTATATAATATATAGATGTACTATCTATGAATCATTACTTGGAATTATCCAAGAGTAACGTGGCATAATGGCTGATATTTAAATGCGCAATAAAATGATGTTAATGGCAGTAATAAAGTGAGTCACCAATTGAGATGTATTGATATTGTAACTGGAATTTTCTCTGTATACATGTTCTTTTCCGTTCTAGACTTGATTCTTTCTTTTTTCTTTTATATAATATATTATTTTTTCCTAGGGGGAAAAAGCGCTTTATGATTTATTGATTTAAAATGATTTTTGTCTGATTTATGTCAGCTTTTTCGCCCTCGGTCGTTTCGTTCTATGGAATATTCCAATACGTTATTATATATATATATATACACATATATCTGATCATTCTTGATGTGCGTATGTTCATCGCCCAGGTAATTCAATCCAAATTGTGGATCCTATTAGAAACTATCATATTTGATATCGAATTTCGCAGGAGCGTGTCGAATTCCCAGTAAAAGCCGACCGAACCCCAACCAAATTTCTAAGTAATGAATTCCGGATTGGATCACGTCGGAAAAGATCCGATCGGTTCCCGTCGTGTCCGATCGTTAAATATCGCCATAACCACTAGAATCCGATGACAGCGAAACACTTGATAACGTAAAGTTCCCACCATCTTGCGGGTGGGTGTGGGTGTGGAATAAAAAGAATACACACCCACCCCACACTGGAAGATTTCTTTGAGAAAATGTTTTAATATCTGATATTCTATCAATTGATGAATTTAACGATAAACTAATTATTGTTTCACTATCTTCTT